AAAAAAAAAAGATAATATTTGTTGCTACATAAATGACAATTTTTAATTTTGAGCTATATAACATCAGTTCATGTGTCTTTGTAGAATTTTCCTTCTTTAGTTTCCTAATGTTTAAATATATGGTAAAGTTTATTTTGCTATTTCTTATTTTAATAAAAAGGGTAAGAGGAATACATAGTGATGCCTTGGTTGTTGAATGGCTCTGAGCTCAAACCTTTCACTACTCAGACAGCAAAAGTTGAAAAAATTCTGATCGGTGTTTGTAACTGTCTTGAGAGTTAAACCAAAAATCTGACATGAGAAAACGGGCCAAGAGTGAGTCATATATCCTGTCTTGGCAGGGAGACAAAGGGTGACACTTTAGTCTTAGCTCTGCTTTTGCCTAGGTAATGCCTAGTGCTTGTGTTAATGTATTAAAGCATTGTGCTTTATTTGGGTAAAATGGCGTAACCATGGCTCCTAAAAGAGTGATACCAGCAGTGAAGCTAAGAGAAAAACTGAGAACAATGACAAAATTGAAGAAAAAATTGTGAAATTCGTTAATGCCCTGGAAAAATGAAATGTAATTTTATGTGCATAATGTTGGGCCTCAGAACAAATCATTAGGTTTTCTATTTCTTTTGAGAAAAATATGGTCAGTTCTCTTGATGTTTGAACACATATTGAAATGATTTGAGTTTGATGGCTTAGTAGCACTACACCTTAATTTTTCCTTCTAGAAAGAAGACTTACACTGAGGATAGTAAGGTTTGGCATGATTGATTATTTTTCTTTTTAGTCTCCAGAAAATCCATCAAAGATGGTCTTCCCCTATAAAGTGCTCAAAGCCCTGGATCCAGAAACCTATCGTAATGTAGAATTTGATGTTTGGTTGGACAGCAGAAAAGGTATGTAATATCAACAGGATATTTTGGAATCCTACAGTGCTGGAAGAATAGTTCTGTAAACTGTTTACTGTGTGAGACATTTTCAACAGATAATAGCCTTTTTATCTTATTACATATAATTTAAATCTGGAGTAAGAAACAAATACAATTAGAAATGGGAGGAATGTTTTTAGACCCTGATGCTTATTTGGGATTTCAGTTTTGCAAGGCTGTGTAGAGGTAGCCTATAGATACCCTTGAGAATATCAAACGTTTAATGACTGGAGACAGGCTTATTAGAAATGTAAACTGTCAAGACTATCCTTTTTAATAGGTCAGGCCTGTGGACTAGATCTCTACCATTTCTTTTTGCTTGGTCTGTGATCCAAGAATACTGTTTACATTTTTACTTTTTAATTTATTTTTAATTAATTATTTATTTGTTTTTTCCATAATTTTATTGAGAAACAAATAGCAATGAGACAGTTTCAAATCAAATTGGTAGGGAAGTTTCAATAATTAACACATTGCATGCATTCTTCCTAGTGGTTAATTGCTGTACAAGATGCGGACTTGATATCCTATTTACAAACACCATTAGAACAAATCCCTCTATTCATTAAGAGAATGTAACTATGTATCTATCCTAAAGTTCAACATATCAATACTTGATGAAAAATACCTGTTTCATGTTATGCCTAAGATGTTTGATATGCAGACAGATAGTGAGGTTAAGCTTAACAGCCTAGGTTGTATGGTAATAACAGTAAGCTTATCTTCTGGATGGTTAACAACCTAAGTTTGCAGACCAAAATTAGAGAAAAAGGGAGGGCCGCAAGGAAAGCCAACATTTTGGCCAGCCTTCCAAGGTCAGTTAAGACTCAGGACATATGAGAACTTGTACTGTAACGTCATGTAACTTGGTAGTGTCTCTTTACATTTTTAAACAGCAGGGAAAAATTTAAAAATACGAAATAATAGAAACTTGGAGTTTCAGCTTTCACAAATAGAGTTTTATAAAAGAGTTGGTAATTTTGATTGTATAGCCCACTGAATCTAAAATACGGCCTGGCTCTATGTAGGAAAATTGTGTCAGTTCCTAAAATTGTTTATCACTCTGTATATGATAACTCAGTTGATTAAACTAGGTCTTAAAATACTATCTTTCGGCCAAGGATATAGTTCAGCATCATAGCACTTACCTGGTAAGTGCAAGGTTCTGAGTTCAATTTCCAGTGCAAAAAGACCTATCTATCTTTAAGATAAGCCTTTAACATGTTCCCAACATCTTAAAGGTGGCAAATGCCTGCATGACTGACTGTCCATCAGGCAGCTTATACCATGAGTGGTACATGCTACATGCATGATTATCCTTTTGGGTGGCTTATAAACACCAGTGTGGTGGTTCAGAGACATAATATGAATTACAGCTCGTTGTGAAGTATTGTTTTATATTCAACTCCTTGAACCTCAGTGAACCTTGAGATAGAGTGAGGTTAAGACCTTGTGTAATGCAGTAAATTGTTTAAAAATAGGTTTCTTTGGGCTGGCCAGATAGCTCAGAGGACTAAAGTGCCTGCTTAGGCAGAGTGCAGTGGCTGGGGTTCAATCCCCAGCCTACAGTGCCATCCCTGCCCACGGGGTGCACTGAGACGAGATTGAGACTGGGCATGGTGGCGCATGCCTATAATCCCAGCGCTTGGGAGGCTGAGAACAGGAGGTGATATCACTATAAGTGCGATCTACGCAGTGAGACCTTGTAGACCCTGTCCTAAATACGTTAAAAAAGATAGGTTTCTTGCAAGAAGGTGGGTAGTGTTACTGTACATTTGTGGTATTTGACCAACAGTATAATTACAAAATCCTGATTTCTACCTGTTTGTGTTTTAAAGTACAAAACTGTTTTTGGTGAGTCTTGGCCCTTTGGTGCTTTCTCCCCAGATTTTAACCTAAAGGGAATTATTGTCAAAAGCACTGTAGTAAAAGTAAGTTGAGAAATTGAATAATATAAAAAAGGAAAGGGGCCAATTCGATTGCACTTCAGTCTTCCTTTTCTTTTACTAGAACTTCAAAAATCTGATTACATGGAGTATGCTGGGAGACAGTATTATTTAGGAGACAAATGTCAGGTTAGTTCCTTTAAAGAATAAATTGTTTTTCCAAGGTGATAACTAAGTCAATTAAACTAGGTCTTAAAGTACTGTCTTGCAGATAATAGGCCTTTAACTTGTTCCTATCATCTTCAACCACAAGTGATACATGTTTGCGTGACTCTCTGTCCTGGAAAAGGGTGTCATTAAAAGAAGCTGAACAGAAGTTAATCACAAAATCCCACACATTTTTTAATGTTAAGTTTTAGTTACAAGCTTTGGTATGATTACAATTTTTGGAGGCTATATCCACAGCACAGCCTCTTGCACTGCTGCTTTTTGGTTTTTACTTGGTCCTGCTATAGTCTTGTATTTTATCAGTTTCTGTTGAATGGCTTTTCTGGTGCAGGGAGTTTTTCTTGCCCACTTTCCTCCTGGTTCTCTATACCCACCTGCCCCACTGCACTTCCTTCAGCATTCCATGACTTCAGGGAAGTGGGGAGGGCTCTCAGATTTTGTTGTTTTTTTCTCCTTAACAGTAGGACTTGATATTTTCAATTTTGGGGAAAAACCTCAAAGATAAATGTGGGGTTTTCAGTAAAAATATATACATAATTCTTGTACTGTATGTGCCTCTTCCATTGACCTAGAATGGTAGTGTCGATAGCAGTCACTTAAAGAAGTAGACATTTAATTCCATTTGGGGAAAAGTGATTATTTTTGTTTGGCAGAAACCAACTGTCAGTGTACTTGATACTAGATATATTACTGTTTTCTCCTGTTCTTCAGGTTCGCTTGGAATCAGATGGAAGATATTATAATGCTCATATCCAAGAAGTTGGAAATGACGGTGATTCAGTAACAGTTTTCATTGAAGAATTGGCAGAAAAGTAAGAATATAACAATTTCTTAAATTACTAAAAGCATTACGTTTTTGGTACCTTTTCCTAGTATTGAGAATTATTAGTGTGCTAGAAAGAGCATCAGTTATGTTTGGTACTGGCATCATGTTACCTTGAATTATAAAAGCATTGCTGAAGTGTAAAATATTAATATAGGTAATAATAAAACCTTCCAAATTCTAGTCAGTAGCTAATTTTTAGAAGCATTAAATTAAGAAAAATAGAATTTTGATTTATGCACCTGGAGAAGTGGCTTGTTGGCCAATACCAAGGTAAGCTAATCTAGTCTTTTTCAGAGATTCTGGAGGACACAGATTGAGTCCAAACCCCAAAGTTTCTGATTCAGTCATTTCTGGAATAGGGCCCAATAATTTTTTTTTTTTT